TAAAAGAGGTCGAAACGTTTGTTGTTTTTGTTAAATTTTAAAATTTAAATAAAATTAAAATTAAAATACGGAACTAAAGTATCTAACTTTAACTCTATTATATATCTAGTCCGTATCGACCAACAGTTATAATCTCAATATGTCTCACACTTCATAATTGTTGAGAAAAGAAAACACACCTTTGATTCAGTTTATCAGTATGAAAGTAGAACACATCCATGTGTTTTACGTTTTTCTCTATGATATCGAATATTTACCTTTTACATGTTATCTTTTTTTATTATAGAAAATTACTGCTTAAGTTCTACCTGGGCACACTTCAATGAATGATCACATGTTAGAATTCATGCATTAAATAAAATTCTTTTTATTTTCTCTTTGTATTTAATAGTGGTTAACGCAAGCGATGATGAATTTTGAACCAATCAAGGTTACAGTAGGTGAAAATCGTTATGGAAAAGAAGGTATACGTTTGATTAAAGTCAATCGTTCATCGGAACAACATAAATTTAGTGAATGGACCGTTCGTGTGTTGTTGGAAGGCGACTTTGACAGTAGTTATGAAGAAGGGGATAATAGTAAAATATTGCCAACGGATACGATGAAAAACACCGTTTATTCATTAGCTAGACGTTTACAAACCGAGTCAATGGAAGATTTTGGTAAAGAATTAGTCAATTTTTTACATGAGCGTAATCCACAAGTATCAACAATCGAAGTAAAGATTTCCGGAAAAGCTTGGGAACCTATTCGAGTTAATCAAACAACATATCCGACAGCCTTCGTGCAAACAAGTAACGAAATACAATTGACAACTGTTAAAAGAGCAAAAACGGGTCCATTTTCAATTGTATCAGGTCTGGATAATTTGTTGGTAATAAAAACAGCCAAATCAAGTTTTACCGGCTATATGAAAGATTCATTAACAACGTTACCAGAAGCAGATGATCGTTTATTTGGAACATCAATTCGTGCTCTATGGACCTATGATCAAAATGATGGACGTGTTCTCTATGAACGATTACGACAAAAAATTCGTAATACCATACTTGAAGTATTTTCAAAACATGAAAGTAAATCGGTTCAACGTAAGTCTAGTCTACTGTATGAACAAAATAAAAATAAAAACTACACGCCTTTGTTATTTATAGATACGTTACATGCAATAGGAAAAACTATTTTGGAAGATATATCCAATAATGTTATACAAATCCATACAACAATGCCAAATATCCATTGTCTACTGTTTGATTTATCACGTTTTGGACAAGACAATCCAAATGAAATATTTTATCCAATCGACGATCCACATGGACTTATTCAATGTTGTTTGAAACGACAGTCAAATACATCGTCATCACGTCAGTCTTCTAAAGTTCTACAATCAAAACTATAAAATGTTTGTATCCCAAGACATTAATTATCACAACAGACAATTCTTTTAAGACGATTCATTGTACTTAAGTGCTCTACTGTGAGACATTTTAGCAACTTCACAATTAACTACCATGTCTAAAAATCCGTAGTTGTGAAAAATCAGAAAGAGAAGATTTTCTTGATCTTAGTGATTGTTTTATTATGTCATATTTTTTAAAATCGATTTTTTTTCGATCAATAAATAAATGACAAAAAATCTACATTTTTTGCTTGATGTTGTTAAGTAGTATTTTGAAAAATTTGTACATATTCTCAAAATAATTCATGTAATAAGAAACCAATACTACTTATTCACCGGAAAAAGTGGCCCTTTCATAGAAAGAAAGGAAAAGAATAGAGAAAACAAGAAGAATTGAAATGGAATATTCACATTAGTGAAAATTGTCTAAATTATATATTACTTTAAATATCTATATGAAAAAATAGTTTACTCTCTCTATCGGTTACTCTACATAGACTTGAACAACTTTAATAATGTAGACAACTACTGTTCAATCAAATTTTCTACTTTTTTAGATTGAGCTATAGCCATGACACAAAATAATCCAACGAAAACACTCACAACGCATGTTTTGGATGTTGCAAATGGTCGACCAGCTGTTGGTGTTCCATGTCATGCAGAAAAATATGATTTAGATAAGTGGCAATCTTTTCCAATGACAACCACAAACTCTGATGGACGTGCATTGAATCTCATTCCACCTTTTGATTGGACACCTGGTCATTATCGTTTAGTATTTGAAACTGGTAAATATTTTCCAGATGGTTTTTATCCTGTAGTCACCATCGAATTTTGTGTCAAAGATAGTGCTCATTATCACGTACCCTTATTATTAAGTCCGTTTGGTTATACAACATATCGAGGGAGTTAAAAAAAATGAAGTATTAGACGAAAATCTATGCATATTTTTTAAACTTTTGAATTATTTTTTAACTGTAATATTGATAGGTTTATTTATAAAAGAGAATTTTAGACAACACTATGTAACATTGTTTACGGAAATATTTACAGTGCCTAGTATACATCGGCATACTCAGTGTACGTAAGCAAATGCACCCGAGATGCATAGACTAGGTATCCGTGATGCCATATTACTTAAGTATATCATCGTGGATACAAAAAATCGCAGTTTAACCGCATTCACAAAATAGTCTGATGAGTTTATCATACGGAGATAGTTCACTAGCGAAGAAGTACTTTGGAAAAAACGTTGATGAGTACATTAAACCTTGATTATGGATTTAAATCTAAATTTTAAATATTTCGGTGTTTTTTATTTTGAAATAGCAAGTCTCAGTAACAGGATGAAATTTTTTTACAAAAACATAAGAACTCGAAAAACTAAACAAATGCACAGGTTGAACAGATCTAACACGTGTGGGCAAGTAGATCTTAGGACAAGGTGTAGGACAAGGTATATGGGACCACTGTTTTTAAAATTTTTTGAACCAGTTTTCATTGTTTTTCGGACTCAATACTACCAGCCAAGATAAAATAGGATAGTGACTGAAAGAAAACATCAAGTCGATAGGATTTCAAACCGATTTTTAGCGATTTTTTTATTCACGCATAATTTATGGCTTACAAAAAACTAAAAAGCTATGAGTGATACTTTATTTTGTTCAGACTTTTGTGCTGTTTCTAACTATGTATTTTAAATAATGTTTTCGTGAAATTAAGGGTTTCTAGAAAAATCCCAAATGTTTCTCAGAGATCCTTACAAGACCACAAACTTCTGAGGTCGGATTCGGATAGTCTACACTTGAATGTCTATGAAAAAGTGCACCTCGTTTTATACTTAAGCCAGAGGCTCGAGAATGGCGTCGAACAGCATAAACCCCTAAGATCATCAGAAAACCTTCGGTGTCGGGCTGAAGGTCCGAGATAAAAACGACCTGGTCGCATTATCGGATAGACCATGCCATGGACTACATAGCGTGAAAAAATCCCTCCTCCATCACTTGTCTTGGTGGAGAAACAGTATCTTTGTTTTTATCCTCCATTTTTTGGACGCTGAATTTTCCATTGAACGGACTCTAGAAAACAGTCCAGAACTCAGAAAGTAAAAATCCTCGAAGGCTCAAAATTTGGATTTAAAAGTTTTCACGCATGCTGAACAAGATAAAACCAGTTAGAAGCAAATCTGAGATATTGATTGAACATGATCTTATGGTAATCTATCGTTTTTCTCGTGCAGTGACTGACTCCTAAAGGGTTTCCGAAAACTCAAAAATCTCGAAATCCACTTCTGATAGACGAATACAATAGCAAGAAGTAGCAATTACGATTAGTAATCAACTGTATAATGAATATTCTATATCATGTTCATGTCGTATGTGTTTTGTTGCTATGTGATAAAAGGATATGTTTTTTATACCATAGCAGCTAGTTTCAAATGATGTTAGTGAACTGTAGTCTGAAAAGAACATCACAATCAAATATTTAGATTTGCTCGTGGAACGAGCAATTGGATCGTTGTTTTAAATTATATTTTCAAGCCGGAAAGAACACTAGCGTAATAAAGAAAGAAGCAATTTATTTCTCAGAATATTTGATGTCTTCTTGTTTTTTAATAGGCAAATTTCACACGGTTGAACTTCTATAAAGTTTATTTACTGGGTTTTTTTTTTACAAAATTTAATAGAGATCGTTTCTGGCTTTTGTGTACTGGATTATTATATGTTGTACTGCTAGCTTGTCTGAACAAATTAATCATAACTGCGTATTTTTTGTTCATAAATAACAAAAACCTGTATAATCTTATTACACTAGTTATAAAAGACTTTATTAACATGCATATAAATACAGAATTGCCAATTATTAGCGAATTAATAATTATGTCAAATTAAAAATAGGAAACAAAAAAGAGTATTATGTTTTTTAAAAATATTTGTATTCTTAGAAATTGACAGAAAAGGTTTCTGCACATTCAGAAACTAGAATAGATTTTCAAGCTTATCCAAAACGCTTATCTATCCATTTCCTGCGATGACATTTTTGGAAACCGTCAAAGTATTCCACTACATTCAGAGACTCTGTTGGTTTCTAAAAATACAATTTTTTGTTTTTTAGCTAGATTGAGTCTATTTGTCAGCAACTTCAAACATTTAAAACTAGTATCCAATATTTTTCCCTTGAGCAAAATCAAAATTTAATGACACACTGGTAAAATAAATTAGCTAAGTAAACGATAGACTATCGCTCGGAGACATATAAAATCCAAAGCAACTTATTTCAATACTTTCCAATGATTTTTATTTTCTTCTTAATTATTTAAGATTTTTTTCCTGATTTCTTTTTTTTTTCTATGTTTGAAACGATATACACATACTAATATTACTTTTAATTTATTTGAATGTTATAGATTCAAGAAAGGCATGCACAATTTTTCTTTACTTCCGATTCTATTTTATAATATTTAAAAAAAAAGAAAAAAACAAGAAACTAAAGTTTTGACCTAAATCAATCGTTTCTCTTTCTTTCATTGACTAACAGCATCGAATAATTTGAATTTTTATATTATAGAGAGTTTATGATAAAATAATCTGAATAGATTTAGAGCGTCACATCTACAGATAGAACAACAATTCAGAGTACATTATTCTACCTAGTCTTTATATGTCAAAAGTAGCAAACTCGACTAGAATGGAGAATTTAGAGATTTTCTCATATTAAAAAGTTTATTAAATTATCTATTCAAATTTTTATATTTTTTTCTTTATGAGTCACCGCTATTCGTAGAAAATTTCATTTTTTTTGGCTCGTGATCATCTATAAAAAATTTTAAGTCATCATACTATGATTGATCGCTGAATAATCTTGATACTTAAATTCCTTTATGTACAACTAATGGCTATTATTCGGAAAAAAATTTTTTCTTAATACTATTTGAATTCACAATTTCATCAGAATTTCAAAATCGACATTTGAGAAAAACGATTTTTTTCTTCTATCATTGAACATGAAAGCGGGAAATGCGTTAAACTACGTATATTACATCTTTTTTTTCTATTCTCTTTTCAATATTTAAAATCAACAGAATTCTCAGACTCTGTGTTTTATTCTTTGTTTCAATTTATATTTATAAATAATAAAAGAAATAGAAAAAGAAAACATTATAAAACGGAAAACTATGAGTAAGTCAAATCACCGAGCGACATCGCGAATAATAAAATTCTTCTCTTTTTTTCTTGTTTTTGGTAAAACCTAATGCAATAGTAGTAGTCTTCTGTCTTATAATTGTTTCAAACGTAAGAATAGAAACTATTCTATTTTTCATTATTTGGCTTACCGATTAATAAGTATGTATAATTTGTTTGTGATCCACAGAATACAGAGTTTTGGTCATCAAATACAGTTTTCGTTACGCATTTATTCAATAGAAATTCAATAAATTTTTATTAAGATGTTAGTAGAGCAACTTCGAATATACGTTCAATCACGTTAGGGACATTGTAAACAAGAACAATTTTCACTTATAGATAAGAAAGAAGAGCCGAATAAAAAATAGATCATCTTAATTTGAATATCATCCATATAATATTTTGCCCATTGGAAAATATTTTCACGCGTGATTTCGCTGTTTCACGTATCACATTGTCTTTTAATCATGGATGAGAATACAAAATCTTTTCATCAATGACTCCTTCATCAATTTTGATATCCATTTTTACATTTTTTAAAGTTTTTCGGTGTTTTTGTTGTTTATGATTCTTCATCATCGACAATGCTATCATCCACGCAGGATGGTGACAGACGTTTTTGTTCAATACCATCAGCAGTTTATTTGTGTGTAATCAGTATCCCCAAATATTATTGGCTCGGCTGTACTCGATAAATTTATAACACCACTTCCTTTGCTCAGTGTTGATGTTGTTGCTAAATGATAAAGGTATTTTCTGCACCGGCGGAGGTCAAGTAACACGATCTTGTAAGGCATCTAAAAAGAAAAAAAAACTACACTGTAAAAAATAGTCGTAGATTAATAAACTATCAAAAGGGTTTATTGAGACCAATAAACCTTTTAAAAAACGCTTTTCCGTTTTTTATATCCAAAAAACTAAAAAGCGTTCGTGACAGATGCAAAATGAAAA